GCAAAACAAAATAAACAAACACTTCAGAAGCCACTTACATATTTTCGAAAAACGTTGTTTTTTGTTTAAAGTTAGCTAGTGGGAAAAACCGCACCGACTTTTAGGCCAGCCTATAGATGGATACAACTAAAGAAACTACAACAAATGTGTTTCCAATATTACTATTACTGGTTCATTCGTTTGACCTAGATCCCATTTCCAACCTACACCTTGATGTATCGCACGTTAGCGAGAGAGAGTTAACTTGTGCAAGTGGGCGTGCTCATAAAACTCAGGTGTACCGAACAAAGTACAGCAATAAAAGAAAGGGAACGCCAGCTGCTTGTTTTTTAATGGAATTCATTAGATAGTACGTTATGTTTCAGTATATACAGATATCTTATATAGAAGATTTTATTGCTCCGAATGAAGATTTATGACACGTTAACGAAATTGTTTATGTAAATAAGCACTTCGTATGCATGTACCACGCGTGTAAGTCTATTTCGAGTAAACCTCAAAGTGTGGGAGCCCTAAGAACGTGTGAAGAGAATTTGGAATTAAAAATAATTGGAAATTTTGGTGGTTAATGGTCATAATCAAGAATTAATAATATTTGAAGATCTCGGTGATCCAGTGATAGATGTTGTGGCAAATACATACCAGATAACCCGTTAGTGTATCTGAGTTGGAAATAGCTGGTTCAAAAGAAAACCTAAAACTTTTGAATTCTTCGCTTTTTACAGGTTTAATGAAATTAGGGAATCAAATATAATTGTTTACGTACCATGTATGTTTGTAGTTTTGTCATTGGCTGTATTTTGTGAAATATGTTTAATTTGAAGTACCTTCAATGGAATCAGGTGAAAATTTTTCCAACTGATTTAGTTTCAAAGTTGACGTACTACTGTACTTATTAGTTACAGATGAAAGTATAAAGAAATGCGATGAAAATGTAAGTTTTTTATATATGACATTAAAACTGGTATACTACCGGTTATAATACCTGACAAGAAACTACCTCACTGCTGTAAGGGCCGAATTAAACTGCCTTCCTGAAACCTTCGTACAATACATTTTAGTCCACTTGGCAGGCGCTTTCTTACGCTGCTCTTGTCTGCCACTCGAGAACCTTTCGGCTCAATCGATTTTCATTTCTGAGCTGAGTGGATTCTTATTGCTTCTTCAACTTGTTAATTCGTATAACTTCGTTGCTGGCTGTAATTTTTATATGAATCTGCTATAAATCAAAATCTTAGTATCCCAGTATTTAATATTTTGAGTGTTATATGAGACTTATGATGATAGATAGATAGATAGAGGGTAGAATTCTGGTTCAAGTCCTGATAAAATCAATTGACTTTACTAAGCATATTCTGATTTGGGTATTCAGGGTAGTATTTCTGGTAATCGTCGACCTGTACGTCTCTGTATGATTTAGACGCGTACAAAACTTTAAACATTCTATCTATAACACTGCATACGAAGAAGCATATATTCGTACTTTTCTACCTATATATTACTTATACAAATATAACCAAAATCCTCCAATCCTCGCAAATAGCTATAAATGCTTGATGAAAGAGAACATTTTCACTGATAAATAGAGACACATCTACCATTGTTCCGTAACTAGCCTTTGTTCCTTGCACAATAGAAGAACGGGGTGAGCAATTTTTGTTTTCCGTTCTTACGATTTTAATTACCTCCTTTGATATTCCTTTATACTGGTAGATTGGTAATAATATTTTTTCATCATTGTTTTTTATGAAAAGTTCTTCAGTTAGTCCATTACCAACTTGTAATTTTATTATAATTACAAAACGAGGTGTATTAACGACTTCGTGTGCATAGACTAAGTACTTCGACTAGCCTACTGTACTATATTAATTTTTATAGTTATGATTTTTATTGGTTATCCAAATTTTTTATCCTCGATTTCACCTCCTATAAAATTTGTTTTTGTACAAAAAGTACGAAAAGTAGCCCATGTCCTTTTCCTAGGTCTTATCTGTTTCTATACCAAAATTCATCAATATTGTGCCAGCCATTTGGGCGTGAAAACGTAACAGAATTACTTTAGCACTTAAAACATTATTTTGGATTTGTGCTACAAATAGGCAGGTCACTGATGGGTTCTGCAGATAGTATCCTATAAGTAAAACCACTTATAATATCATCCCCGGCTGTAATAGAAAGTGACCAAAGGATAAATTCAGAACAAATTGTTATAGCAGCATTTTTCTAACCACAATTGCAGTGTTATTGCTATCGCCTTTTGCCAACTCGCTAGCCAAAAGTGCTAAGCACAGCGATCATGGTAAATCCTGGATTTGTAGAGAGATCGTGCATATCAGGAAATCAAAGAAAGGTCTTTTATAAAGATAATTGCAAATACATCAGGAGTTCCACAAGGGACGCTCTCAGGCCCATAACTATTCTTTGTTTAAATCCAAAAAGAAAATAATATTTCATTCATTTTGTCGTCCCTTCTAAAGACCTTGGAGATCCGAAACCATATAACTTCTTACTTGAAATTTACTCCCCGACATTGATACGCTTTTAGTTTGTCAGAGTCGGTTTCTTTTCGCTACGAAATTGTTAAGTCTTGTTATTAAAAGAAATATTGGAGATGGAAACTATGTCCTTTCGATAAATTCTTTCTTTCTGGTAAAATAAGTATGGATTTAATTCGGTACCAAAATAAAATAAAAAAATTACTTAGGTGCTATATATAGATAGTAAGGTTTTAAAACTGTAGATAAAAATTTGTATGTTTTTTTAATAAATAAAAAATTGGTTTTATTTGACGTGAAAAATCACACCACCTGCAAACAATTCTAGAAAGCAACATGATAATAGAAAAGAATAACAAAATTAAATACCAATTTTAATGACATGGAACGGACACTCCCAATAATTTTAAAGCTGCTATCTATACCTTAACTTTGTAGTGAACCTTAAGTGCCAGTGGGCGGGTCACGTTGCACGAATGAATGGCTCCTGGTGTAAGGCGGTCCTCGAATGTCGACGTTGGGGAGAAAAACACCCCAGCACCGTAGATACGTTGGAAGGATGACATAAAGAAAGTGGCAGTGTTGAATTGGATACAGATGGCACAGGCTGAAGGGTGCCTACACCGATGTGGTTGAGAACGGCTAGAAAGAAAAAAAGAGGAAGAGGTCTATACCATACCTCGATACATTTCTAATTATTTAGTTGTTCACAAATAGAATAACACGATAAACTATCGTTCACGAGTTTTTTGACGTTGTCGTCGTAACGCCAAAAAAGTCGTGACAATGGGAAGAACTAGACTGACAGTCGTCCGACGATAAATAACACGTCACGATAAAAATGTGACGATAGATAATCGCAGCTTCAAACGATTTTGAGGCGGCTGCCGTGATCCGATAAATTGTTGTCACGATCTAGTGGGACACGACAGCCGTTCAACGATAAAATAAATGTCCACTACACAGTCACGACATAAAGTCGTGATAATATGGGAACAGAGTGGACGCTACAGCCGCCCAACGATAAATAAAACGTTACGACATTATATAACAAATGGGAACGCGCCCTAACTCGGACATCATAAAAAAGGCGGATAAGGACTTAAAATGAATTCTTTTTTTTTATAATTGTGTCCCAAGTGACGGGACGAATAAGTCGTGTGCCTGGTGGTAAGCGACACGCGTATTCATAACAGTTGCAGTGACACTCAGAGCTTTAAATCGCTAAATCTGAAGGGCATTGACAGAGACCTGAGATACAAGCTGACAAGTCCCATGATCCTGTGATTTCACCAGCACCCTTAACCTTTAAAACCGGAATGCAGTAATGCTCACATTACTGCTTGGTGGCAGAAATAGATAAGGTGGCTATACTTCCCTGGACGAACTCTTTACAAGGAGCTCTACTGCTAGTATAACAAAGGCCCTTAAAACCTGTATATCAAAAAGAATCAAATTTGATTATTAATAATTTTATGAATTATTACAAACTCCGTTTATAATAGGCGATCACGAGAAAAATAAAATAATCTTTATCTTTATATATTTCAGTAATAAGTGTGTAATTAGGTCTGCGAAGTTTCAAAGGTCGTCTGAAAACTTTTCGAAATTAGTCTAAAATGTTATTGCAATTTTTGGTAAAGACTTTTCTTAATTAATTAGCCTTAAACTTTACTCAAATGTTTTGTGAATATACATTTAATGAACCGTTCTTCAATTCGACTAAATGAAACTTTCAAATATCGAGTGGACTTCTTCATGACGTAATTTGCCAGGACTGAACGCAGTGCTTTGGCTTTCTCCAATTGTATCTAGAGCACAAAACTAATTAAAAAAACTAATTAAATATTATAATAGTGATAGACTCCTCTCGTGATTTTGTAAAATTTATATTTTTATATTGGTCCCACCGTAAACCACAATTAAAAACTAAATCAACATGAGATCGAAAATGTATCAAGGTTGTATAGAAGATATCCATTTACCTTCCTCTTGAATATGTTTGGATTCAAGTGCCAATATTTTGGTGAAACAAATTAAATATTTTCAATAGAAATCTGCTTAACTTTCGATATATAAGAACACAAATTTCAGTCCAATTTACTGTTACAAGGAGTTAAGTAAAATATTTTCTTTTCCCAGGCGCAGGTGGTCTCCGAGCGATCGAGCTCCGAATATCTCCACCAGTGGTACAGCGAGGATCCGACGCAATTCTCGCCTGCCTCTACGAGCTTACAGATGCGCCTCTGTACTCTGTCAAATGGTATAGAGGCCGCCATGAGTTCTATCGCTATTCACCTACTGAGACTCCAGCGACTAAAATATTTCCTTTCGCGGGAATCAACGTAGATGTGAGTATATTTTAATATCAAATGAAACAGAAAACAGTATATTATTTTTATTCTTATAGTTGCTTTATAGGTGTGTTCTAGTATACAATATAGTCTAATATACTTGTGGTGGATTAAATTGAGATGTAGACGATGTTAGTGATGAAATATGCGTTGAATATTAATAATAATAATATCTCAAATTATAAAAATGGTGTAATCGAGACGGTGTGTCATCTTCTCGATAACGCTGTTTCGAACTTCCGTCTTGTATTGGAAATACCATGGTCCAGTCTACTCTGTGCTCTCGTTAAACCACATTTTTTTAATCATCCTGGCGTTCTCGTGTCTGTGATCTTGAATTCCAGAAATATTCTATGCAACTCATATGAATTTCCATTTTTACGACGAGCTTGAAAAGAGCAGCTTCCTTTTTTATGACTGTTGACATCAGTTCACGTTTACTCTTTGCTGTTATTAAAACTTTGGCATTTTGATCACAGTCCTACAGTTGCGTTCCATAAAAATGTGTTTGACCCTAATTTGAATCTGTATTTTTTAAATGTCAAATGCCTAACACATTCGATGTACGGCACAGATACTCCTAGTAAATGTTGTGGAAAAGATTTTAAACGCTTTTCGTAAAGTCTAAAGTTACAAAGTTTGGATATGTTTGTAGATTTCTTTAATATCAATGTTTCAAAACCCTCTAATAATGGAGGCCATGGATGGCATTTCATAATGCGGAACCGTGGGGAATTGTATTTTCGGATCTCACAAAATTTTGGTCGTGTTGTTGTAGACAGATTTAGCTTGACAAATTCTGCATTTTATTTTTTCCATGCGATTTAAACGGGAAATAAAATGCTGATTCATATACTTGAAATTGATGTAATCTTAAACATCATTGCCATGCCAACGCCAACCAAGGTCTCAGTTTTAATGGGACTGATGCATAAACTCACAAGTCCCTGCAGCTGTTAAGTCGGAATCAACACAATATCGTCAGGTATCGGATGATATAATTTAGTTGTCTCTTTTTGTGTATACTTGTGGTATTGTAGTAATTGGCTTAGAATGTTCTATTCAGAATATGCATCAAAGGCGAAAACTCCTCTAGTAATGTTTTGCCAATCAAACAGACTCAGGGTAGTGTCAAGGAATTAGATCAAACCTTTGGAAATCAATTCCGCGTAAGGAGAAAAATGTAATTCGAGAATATATTTTTTTTTTGCACAAAAACTTGTAATTCGGTATATTGAGTGTGACAGATCATCCCAAACTTATAACGATGGAGCTGCTGCCGCCGAAAACGCCAGGAAGTAAATTGAGTTGTACTGAAAACTTCTGATTATGCAAATTCTTGATTATTCAGTTATGGTAACTTTAAATCAATTATGAATACAATAGTACATTCGTTAACAATTCTACTACCACAAACTACTTACTCAAACTAACCGTACAGTGGACAACAAGCTCGCGTGTAATGCGAACTTTGCAACACTTAAAGCTTCAATCCTTTCTACTATCTCTTAAAGTTGTAACTAAAGCGTGGTACAAGTTGCTTCGAATTTTCAGAGAAAAGTTGAGCGGAGATAGTGGAGATGAATCATCTCCTCCGCCAACGACTGTTCGTGTCATATGCCTTGTGCTTGTGATCCATTGCTCTTTGAATTATATGACTATACTTCTGATTATGCTTTTGTTCACGTTGTATCCTAGCGACGTAATGCCGCGCGACATTGCACCGAGTGATCAAAATCATTTTATTGAAAACAACAGGATTTAGTTATATTGTACTGTTGCTATCGGGCAGCATTGTCACTGCAATCTTTCACTTGTGGAGAGGGTTCACATTCTTGAATGAGACGATAATATTTTTGTAAAATATACAGTAGGTAAGTAGTGAGACGTATTAGTAACTCAATATATTAAATACAAGGAGTAAATACGTACTGAAACAAGGCTAACAATCTGTACTGTAGTTAGTTAAAATAGGTAGACATACCTAATACTTGATTATGGGCTAAAACTGCCAGACAGTTCGCCTGATGGCAAGCCGTTACTGCAGCCCGAAAAACATTTGCGATAGGAAGAAAGCATCTTGAAGTTTGGGAAGTGTTGGTACTTAACCGCTTACGCGATACATGCAGCCGTAGACCACATACCACCACACCTAAAGGTGCTGGTGATGATTTTATACCGATTTATCGGATATCGAAGTTGCAACAAGTAAAAGAACTAATATTAATTGCTATTTCGGTAACTATTCTAGCAAACCATAAAATTTTTATTGCCTGGGTCTGTCATTTAAAAAAATAAACAACTTCAAAAATACGTCACGACAATCGTGTGTGTTATTGTTTGGACTGGTGATTTCGGTGTTTATTTATTGAAAACAAACCGTAAGTAGCGTTTTTTAAGTTTACCCTGAATATAAATGTTTATAAACAATACTTTAAGGAGTAATTTCATGGTAAACGTTGGAACCACTCAAACGGAATATTATCATATTTATTCAAGTACACCAAAAATTTCATTAGTGCTTTTTAAGTGCAGGATTTGCGGTGTATTACTGCATTTTATTTGAGATGTTTTTGTTGGTAGTACGGAGGGTATTTATTTAGCAATGCAGAATAATAATTTTTATTTATAAAAACTTGTATTTAAACTGAATGCTTTTCTAATTTGCGAAACCAAATAGCCGCCATTTTGCGGTAGGAGGAGCGCATCGCGTGAGCGGTTAAAATTACTCTTAGTCTGATGACCTCGGTGGCCCAGTGGCGAGTTTGTTTTGGCACTTGTAGTATATAGGTACTGGTTGTGGGAAAAAAAGACAAAGCTACTTATCTAGGGCGTTCGTGCTTGTCTCCTTGTTGTGCGATCTTCTGTGGCAGGTCGCCTATCATAATAGCCATTTGGGATCGAGAAGTTGCGGTTCGGAAGAGTTCTGTAGTGTAGTAACAGTTTCAGAACAGAGACTAAAACCATCAACCCATTTATATGTCCCATTGTTGGGAACGTGTCTTCTCTTAAGCGAGGATTTAGGCAATAGTCCGCCATGTTGGCCCAATACAGGTTGGGTTTAGGAACTCCTCACCTTCACCGAAAAGCTTATGGTTAATGTCAAATTAAATTTCGTACATAAATTCCAAAAAACTCACGAAATGCGAGCCCTGATTGCAACCCACGACATCTATTTGAGAGGTGGTAGGTTAAACCATTAGGCTGCCATGGCATTTCAGCAACAGAGATAACTACAAGTAAATATCAGAGAAAAGAAACAGTTCACTAAGCACATGATTTTATGATACAGCTCCATCTGACTCAACTTTCACTTCTACTGGAGTCATGTACAAGATTTAATGTGAAAAAAATCGTGACAAATGTAGCACAAAATACGACATTTACATACATTTTTTTCGATCCATTTCTCTTCCAAGTAATAAATATAATTTGTCGCTCGACATTCACGTCCCGGTGCACACATTTGCCGAAACTTGATTTCGCTCCGGCAATTCGTTAAGCTGATGTAAAACTTCTTGTACCGTGAAACACGCGAACATAAAAAGAGACAGAAAAATCTCTGTTTATAATGGAGTTAGAGCTGTACTGAATAATGATTCGGCTTTTTTTTACTTAATGTTCGAATTTCGGATAAAACTTGAAAATGTAAAATTACGGCAGCGTTGTATCGCCTTCCGCTAATCCGTACGTACCTACGTATTACGATGAATCCTCCATTATACAGGTAAAAACTGAACTTTCCGCTTTTTACGATACGGTACAAGTTATAGAGTCCATTGTATTGTTGACTGAAAATAATTTATTATGTAAGTTGTCGAGTTAGACTGAATTAGAAAGAAAGGAACAAAATAAATTTATTTGGCTACCACAGCGTCTGTAACAAATATCGCATATCTTATTCTGCGATGATCCACTTTTGAAAAACATTGCAGTTAGCTACATTCCAATACAACATAAGTTACGTATATATCAGCTGATGTAGGCAACCTCCACTCGCTGCCCTCCTGACAAAACTTTTTGCCTTCTCCACTGGCATGTTTCTTAATACATTCCCGTTCATTCTTAATGCTTTTAATCAGGCCTTTTTAAAGGATATACTCAATCTGATCGAGGTGTGCATGTCGAGTTTCTTTTTCTTTCTCCACGTTTTCGTACACATTTGCTATATAAATTTGTTCCATCAACCTTCTAACATTCATTTCTTCTACATGATCAAACCGTTGAAGCATTCATTTTTCTATCCCGGTCACTACACCACCTTTTACACCTCAACGCTCTTTTACCACACTGTTCCGGATTCTATCTGCTTTTATAAATTTATATAAGTTTCTAACACTTTTAAGGGGATGTCAGGCATGCAAACACATACCACTACGTTTAGCAGATCCCAAGTTTGAAATCGCAAAAAATAATGCACTGTTTTTTCAAAAGTTCCACCGGTTATTTAAATTTTTCGTTTTATATCTAATTTAAAAAAATTGTCGGCTATCATTTCTTTTCATTTATGTGTTATACGTGGACGTACAAGTTTCCGGAATGAATGAGAAAAAATACTATAAATGGTCAGAAATGAATTTATTGTTTCTCAAAATATTTTCCGTTACCGATAATACACTTTTTCATAAGATTGAACCACTTTTGAAAACATTTATGCCACTCCTCCGTGACAATCCCTGAAACATATTTTTCATACTTTTCGACAGCCTCTTCAATGAAAATTGTTGACAGCGTAACTGGTTCTTAATTTTTGGAAATAAATAAAAGTCACAAGGTGCCACGTCGGGGCCGTACGTGGATGGCTCATAAGGTCAACATTGCTCCCCTTCAAAAATTGAGTGATTGTGTGAGAACTGGCATGGTACAAGATGATACGGCGGTTATTTTTACGGAGCTTGTCAATGACTTCCGGCAAACAAGTGGTCATGTACCAATCTCTATTCACGGTACAACGATTTTCCAAAGCAACAGTAGCCACGTGTCGAGTTTTATTAAAA